CGGTTACGCAAAATTGTTCATCACAAAAGCAGATCAAAACAACAAGGAAACAAGTAAAAAAAAAATTATAATAAAATACTAATATAAATTTTAACGCAAAACACTTTAATCTAATTAAGTCAATTTCTGGTGGTGACATCAACAGAAGATCAAGTATATAACAAATAAAATAAAAATAAATAAATAAATAGATAAATAAATAAATAAACAAATAAATAAATAAATAAATGAATGAATGAATGAATGAATGAATGAATGAATGAATGAATGAATGAATGAATAAATTCAAAACACTAATAGTAAACAGAAAGTATTACAGTGCTCAGCATAACTGAGTACAGCCCATTTTGAAAACAAATATTTTTATCCATTTCTGAGCAAATATAGGCAATGTATTTTGGTGCATTTAAACAAAACAGATTTATTAAACAGATATATTTATTAAAATAATAGTTTAGTCATCAAACATTTAAAAAACTGAAAGACTGAATGAAAAATTATTTTGTATTTGTATTTAAATTTGTATTTAATATTTTTCTATAATCATAAATTTGTTAACAGTTATCGTAAGTTATTTTGTTAGATAGACTCCAGATATTAGATAGGCTTCAGTACTGAGTAATCTAATGTATATGCACAGACATAATATTGTATAGCTTCCTAATTTAAAAAAAATAATTAAAAAGATAGATTTGAGAGGGAAGCACTGTATGTTACTGGTTTCCCTCTTATATTCAGCAGATCCCATCTATCAAGTTTTATATGACCCAGCTGATCTTTTTTACCCTGCATTCTAAGTAAGGGATTCAGAGATATTGGAAACACTTGCTTTTAAACTTATCCCATGTGGCTGCTTTTATTTTATTTCGATTAGTTCAAATCTTTAATAGGTGTGTATGTATGTGTGGTTATGGTAACTGCTTTAACTGTTATTTTTATAATTTTATTTATTTTCTCATTCTCTTTTTAAATCAATTGTGAATCAATTTGGTCAGAGAAGCGGTTTTAAATAAAATGAGGAATACATTACCATAAATAGGATCAGGTGCAGCACAAATAATATAGTGGTTACATTAATATGCTTGTGCTTTCACAGTAGCAACACAGCCTTTACTAAAAGGACCGTAAATTATGAGAAAATAATACAGATATGTTCATTTCTGTTTGCAGGTGAATAAAGTTTTGTTAAACATTTAGGAGTTTCTTTTTTCTGTCAAACACAAAAGAAGATATTTTGAAGAATGCTATAAACTGGTAACTATTGACTTTTACTGTAGGAAAAACAAATATTGTTTAAGCCAATGGTTGTGTTAAAGAGCAAAATGAGTAAATGAGGTGAGTACTGTAAATAAATCTAATCTGTCAACTTGGAAACACATAATTTGTGAATTCACAAGTAAAATGATAAATATTTTCACCAAATGAATTAAGTTTGTGTATTTTTTTATTCATGTTTTAAATCTATGAATTGGATTTGTGTACTTTTGAATCGTGGTTTGAATTTGCAAATTGGATTTGTGTACTTTTGAATCATGTTTTGAATTTCAGAATTACATTTGTGTATCTTTAAATCGTGTTTTGAATTTCCGAATTGAATTTCCATAGTTTTGAATAATTTTTTGTATCTACACACTGGATTTATGCACTTTTGAATAGTGTTTTGAATTTCCGAATTGGATTTATGTATCTTCCAATTATGTTTTAAAAATTACCCATTGCATTTGTGTACTTTTGAATCGTGTTTTGAATTAACAAAGTGGATTTGTGTACTTTTGAATGGTGTTTTGAATTCATGAATTGAATTTGTGTATCTTTGAATCATGTTTTGAATTTTGGAATTAAATTTGCATAATTTTGAAAGGTGTTTTGAATTTACGAATTGGATTTACATATTTTTGAATTGTGTTTTGATTATACTATTTAGTTTGATGTATTTTTGATTCATGCTTTAGATTTCTAAATGGATTTGTATATTTCTTTATATTTAGTTTTTTTTTTTTTTTTTTTCAAGTGTTTTGATTTTATGAAGATATTTTAAATAATGTTATAAACAGGTAACGATTGTTTACCATCAAGTAAAATGAGTACATGAGGTGTGTAAATAATTGCAGAATTTTCTAATTTGAGTAAACTGTCCCTTCAAAGTGAATAAATTCTGAATTTAATTTTGTTTTGCCTATTCTATAAGAAAAAAAAATAGATTTTGTTCACCAAAATAGCATTGCCAAAAAAAAATTAAAAAATTGTTATATATTACATATTTATTATTTAATAGCCGAAAATTGTAAACCTTTACATTGATTTCTTACTGGATTTTATTATTTTATTGTATCAAATTCCAGATAAACTTTTGTGATATTTTACTTAGTAGAAGTGAAAAACTTCTGCAGAGTTATGACTTGTATACTTTACCCTGACATCTGCTTTCTTGCCTACATATCGGATGTTGACACACTGTGCATTACTACTGCTTAGCCAGCATAATCCAAATCAAGTGAGCTCCTATATTAAAATCCGTTTCCCTCAAAACCTCATGTCTCCAGTCAATCAATAAATTACATTCAGCATATTGTGTATGCATGATGGCATCGGGTGACCTTTAAAATGGCTGCACAAAAATAACCATCCTGAATGGATTGCATGTAGGGGATATGAGGGGGGGAAGGAGAGAGTTATTTTCACATCTGAGACCATTAGACGCCGGTTAGATGTCTGAATTGCACAAGCATGACAAGCAGATACACTGTGGACTCTCACAAGCAGGACATCAGTAAGCAATAGGATCCAGACCACAACAAATAAATCGGCTCATATATCTGCACAGTTGCCCTGTGTATATGTCACCTGACTTAATAGTGAACAAGAACAGAAAAGTAGCAGCACTGCTTTACTGTGACTCTAACTGTAATATGCAATAAGCAGTTAAGCAGTATTGCGTGCGTGGACTGCGATATAAAAACTGGAAGACTTGCTGTTATTTTCTTTACAATTTACCATTTTATGAAACAGTTACTGCTGTTTTGATGTTATTTATGTACCTGGGATTTTATTTTCTCTCCTGCTGATTATGCAGTGCTGAATAAGAACTAATCAAATGTTATATCTGACTATTACATTTTCTGTTCTCAAAATTGCAGAAGATTGTCAGAGGAAGACCACAATTTGCCATTGGTGTCTCGATTGGTGTTTTTAATAATACTGAATAATGTGTAAAATATAAAGATATAGCCACAGCCATGTCACCTTGCAGACCAAGACTGGTTACTTACTGAAGCTAATCAGGGCTGAGTATGGTCAGTACCTTGATGTGATACCACATGGGAAAACTAAGTTGCTGTTGGAAGTGGTGTTAGTAAGGTCAGAAGGGTGCGCTCAATCTGTGGTCTGTGTGAGTCCTAATGCCCCAGTACAGTGAAGGGGAAACCATACTGTCAGTGAGCACCGTCATTCAGATGAGATGTTAAACCAAGGTCCTGACTTTCTGTGGTCATAAAAAAATCCAATGGCACTTCTCATAAAGATTAAGACTGTAACCCCGGTCAAATTCACTCCATCGGCTCTTACCCATCATGGCCTCCCATTATCCCCATCCACCAAATTGGCTCTATCATTGTTTTTTCACTCCATCTATAGCCTGTGTGTGGTGAGCGCATTGACGCTGTTGTCCTGTGGCTGCTGTGGCATCATCCAAGTGGATGCAGCACACTGGTGGTGGTGTGAAGAGACCCTCCTTGTGATTGTGAAGCACTTTGGGAGCAAGGCCATACATAATAAATGCGGTAAATAAATACACATTACATAGGGATTTACATTTCTGAGTAAAATAAGGGATGAGATATAGGTGTGTGTGTGCTTGCTCGCTTAATGTAGGGGGGTTTTGAGGACACAGAATTGTGTAACGAAATGGGTATGACCCTTATACTAACCCTAGTTGATGGTGCTTTATTAGGACATACCTTATATCTGGGTAATGGAAAACGTTTTTTTGACATTCAGAATTTTTATATATGTATAACCAAATAAGTGTGCATGTCGGTAAGTGGGGGGTTATGGAAATGCGTGGATTATGAGCACTGAAAAGATAGGTCTCATTTAGATGTGCCTATATTCAGTAATTCAATATATCAAGATAATGAACATTTTTGGCAAAACCATAAGCAATTATTTATTCTTTAAACTTTTAGAGTGCCTTTTAAGAATATTCAGATTGTATTGGCAGTGGACAAGTTGTCAACTAGGCATGGGCCAGTATAAAATTCTGACGGTATAACCTTGGATAAAAATATCACGGTTTGACGGTATTGTGTTTACTGCTCTAAAATGGTATTTTTAAATATATATTTAAAAATACCATATATATATATATATATATATATATAAACTTTTAAGTTTACTTTATTTTTTCCTGTCTTTAGATTTGCTCTAAAAAATTACAGAGTATGACAAGCATATATTTTTTTCCTCTTTTTGTTCCATAAAGACAAACTAAAATAACTGAACTGCAAAGGTAAACACACTTATGCAGTTTTTGACATAATGACTGCATCACTCTACACTGTGAGCTGTGCCTGTGTGGATTCCCAGTCAGTCTTAAAAGTCAATTACCTTAGGTTTGTTCCTCGCGAAATACAGTGCAACCATACCTTGCTTCAAGTGACATGGGAAATTAATTAAAGACAAGTCATGGTTTCCATTCAAAAGTAAGATATAACAATACGTTTTAATAGAAGCTGTTTACAATCGTATGTAACAAACTACACAATGTGGGTGGCATATTTTGTGTTATACATGAAAAGCCTGCATTGTTATGAACTAAAATAACTGTACTTTCTAACAAACGTTTGAATCTCTTATAAAAGTAAAAAGAAGTACAGCTGTCGTCTGTCATTTTGGCAACAATTGAGCAAACAACAATGCATAGATAACTGCAACTGTTCCAGTCCTAATAGAAGAGGCAGACTGTTATGTGACATGTTTTAAATAAGCAAGCCGGACTTCCCTAGCCTTGACAGAACCACGGGACGGCACAACACAGAGAGGAAACGAACACCCTCTAGTGCTGACGAGCTGGTCTTCTGTCTACATCCTCAAAACTCTTGGGCTTTCCAACCTCAAGATCGCGTTTCGCGCGCCAGAGAATAAAGCGTCGCTGAGGCTCGTGCCGGATTTGTCTGCGTGCACGAGACTCATTCGACAAGTTTAAGCGCGTGATACTGAACGGACTCGCGTCGACGGTATATACAGTCAAGGAGAGAAGAGCGAGTTAACGTATAGAGCAGGGGAAAGCGCGTTAATGGCTATTGACGACTGGATACAACACTTAGTCTAGTTCGTTATTTCAAGTGCTGACAACCAGACAGCGTTAGCGAAAACTCATCTCACAGTCTCAACCCTATTCATGGGGTAAATTCTGTAAGTTTTTTTTTCAAGTGCCGCCGGTAGTTGTGCGCGTAATGGGCTGGCATTTCAGTCGCTCTCTATCCGCGTTTTCGCGGTGCGGGGAACGAGGTGGTTGACACGCAAAATCGTTTTCAACAGTTAATTGAACATTGTCACAGGATATTTTGTCGTGGACTTTTTTCTTTAGTGACTTACGTGCACAAATGGATATAAAAATGACTTTTCAAAGGTTTCTCTTCATGTTTGCTTTACCGGGATTGATGTTGTCGGACCCCGGGCATCCAAACCAAGGTGAGTTATAATGGAATAATGAATAGGTTTATAAAATCATAACATATTGCCTACACTCATATGGTATACGGTGCATGCTTATGCAATGCGTATTGTTTGCAAAGGAGACTAAAGTCGTATTTTGCTGTGCAGTTTGGTTAGAGTGTATGCGGTTTATTTTGGATAGTGACAAGTGCACTCACAGATTAGCTAGAAAAATATTATTTGTTTTGATTTGCAGGTCAGTGCAGGGAAATTATAAACGTTGTTCAATAACACTTTGCAGTTCTGCAGGCTTACTTAACATCACACAGGGACCGGGACAATGTTGAAACTGAATCTGCAATGTTGCAGATTTTTAAAAAATATTATTATTATTATTATTATTATTATTATTATTATTATTATTCTGAGATGTGTTTCTTAACACTGCTATCATGTTCCCATATTGTTCTATTACTTTAAGATTGTACAACTTATCTCAATGACTGTGAATCAAGGTCAAGTATAAAGAGAGTTGTTGTTGTTGTTGTTGTTGGAGTTTTAAATTATATAAAATAGTTTTTTTTTTATTTCATCATCGCATAATTATAATGTTCTAGCTGATTTTGTGAAAATATAGTTTTTCACATATTCTTATTATTTGACAACTTTTTTGTAATAGCCAATGTGCCAAATGCCAAAGTGGCATTTTGTTTAAAACACATCCTCAACTAACCTACAATCAAATGCATTCATACTGAATATATATATATATATATATATATATATATATATATAAATTTTCAAAATCGTGACACTGTCCCATATAGTTCAGCCTTTATGGGTACTGTAGAAATGCATTAAAAGTAGTTTTTGTCAAATCTTGTTCCGAGAGAAACTGCTGATGACAGTGACCTCAAAGATGTGATTTTAATGTCATACATTTTTCTTTATGTACTTATAAAAGGTACATGAGCAATTCCATGCAAATGTCAACCGTGCCATAAAAAAAAAAAGTTTTCACCAAAATATGGAAACTGTTTCAAAGTTTTTTTGCATAAGCAAGTATTTTACAGTACTTTAGAACTACTCAAAAATGTCTCTGTCAATCTTTTCAAACTATTATATTTGATTTACCAAAGTCACACAAGTGGCAATTTCACAACTGTCACATTCATAATGAGAGATATCACATCCATAAATGTCACTTTTTCTTCATAAATGAAAAAAATATTAAATAATATAAAATCAGTCATTTTTGTTCTATAGAGAGAAAACTCTTAGCCTTTTAATTAGCATAATTTTTTGTTTGTTTAATTCACATAATTTCTACGAATTATATTGTATACTTCAAACTTGCATATTATTTTGGTCACATACATAACGCATGTTTATTTTCCTCATTTAAATTATGAAAATGTTTACAGATTGATATTTTTCTGGTCCTATAACTCTGTGGTCAGTTGTTCTGAAAAATATAAATAGATGTTTTCATATAATGTTAACATATACTTTCGATGTGAATTTATGTTAAGGTTTTTACTGCGCAGTCACATCTAAAATGCTGGAATTGCTCACATAGTTGTAATATTGAGAAAGTACAATTGGCACGATTGTCAAAAGCTATTTGCCGGTTTTATCACATAGAAAATAGAATAGGTTTAGGAGGAGCTTAATCAATCAGTCATGTCAATCATCATTAAAGCACATAAGCAGCAGTCATTGCGCCATCCCAGAAAGACTTGAGACAAGCCTCACATTCAACGCTTTTAGTAAGGGCAGCTTGCCAAGTTCATGTAGCCATCAAGACTAAATTGCCAGATAAACTTAAAAATAAATAAATAAATAAAAATTACCATCTCACCTCAAAATTGCATTTTGTCCTGTAAAACTTTTAAATTTTTTCCCAGTAACTTCAGAAAAGGGACGGAAAGTGACGTCATCTGAATTTATATTATTTATAAAAATAGTTAGTTAGATAGTCTTGTTTAAATAGTAAAAAAAAAAAAAAAAAAAAAAAAATATATATATATATATATATATATATATATATATATATATATATATATATATATATATATATATTGTTTTAGTTTAACTAATTGTTCTGCATTGTAACATTGCTAATCTAATGCTAATCTAATATAATTGCATCTAATGAGTGGATTGCTTTTTTTAACGCAACTTTCCTTCCTGCACGTGCCTCTAACTCATCTTTTGTTTACGCTCACAGATTGCAGCAGTAATTCACACAGAAATTAGTCAAATGGCAGCATTTTGAATATGAACATTACAAGAACAAGTGACTCCCATGTTATATCTGTGTGTTGTTAAAAGAGAGAGGGAGGGAGCATATTTGTGTGGGATGTGATGTGCAGAAGATAGAGAGAAAACACTCAAACCATCTGAGTTGGCTTGCACGGCATTTAAAACTTTTTTTCCCAGTTATGAGTCATCCCTATTTCACCCGAGCTGAGATGGAAAGCAGTTATTTAACAGGTCACTGTTTTGTCAGTTTAAACCATCACAATTTAGGAAATAGATTGGGATACAGTCATGTCCAATATGAACCTATAATGTAAATTAAAAGTTTGCAGTTCACTCCAACACAAAGCCTCCTCGTGATTAACATTGAAGATGTGATTAGTATTCATGCAGAGATGATCCTAAACATGACCTCGCAAGAAATGCATCTGTTGTTCTGCCATTTTAAAAATAACCTTGCTCTTTCCTACTTGTACTTGAACTAAACTGCTTTACATTTCAACGTTTCCCTTTTTCCGCATGAAGTAGAATTTTTTTTTTCGCAGGGTATTCATTGCAGAACTCTTCAAAGCTCTTAAAAATCCATTTTAAAGAAGCCTGTATTCTGAATGAGCTTATCATGCAATCTCCTGTCTTCTTTCCTCCTCTACCCATAGCAGAATCTTGAATGCCTGTTTGACCCCCCTTTGTAAAACCAGTCTCTATTTAAGTGCAGGTCTGTAATAAGCCCTTGGTTAAAACCACCTTTTTGCGCTGATGCTTGACGGGCTGCTCTTGCCAATCATGCTCAACTGTCAGCTCGCACCAAGAGAGACTTTAAAATGGGTATCAGATCACTAGAAGATAGCAGTGTTCTCAAGCTCTCCTCTAATCAGTCCAGAGTGGTGTTTAAGTGTTCTACAAGGGCTTTTTAACCTCCTCTTCCTCAGATATCAGTGTTTTTTTTTTTTACATTTATTTTTTAATGCCTGTTATTGGTCAAAATGTAAGTGGATAAAGTGTGCGTAATCCATTCAGATGTTGGACATTGTGAACTGGTTATCATAGTTGAGATGAGACTAAAACCATTTTGGTACTTGATATACAGTCAAATAAACATTAGATGAAAAATAAATAGTAGCCAGGAAATATTTCCCATATTGATTTCATTTAACTCATATGTAGGACTGCTTGATTATGGAAAAAAAAAAAAAACATATTCATGATTATTTTGGTCAATATTAGAATGTCAGTTATTTAAAATGATTTAAAAATGTGCTCAAATTTGTTTGATTTATTTTAATTAATTAATTTAATATGCTGGAAAATAGACCACTATCTCTTTAAAAGCCATACTGATCCGATTTTATGGGACTATTTATGCTAATGGATGATATAACAAACAAGGTATATGTGAATAATCATTAAGTGCTGTTTTTTGGCACAATTTTGCTTGTGTTTGACCCTTTAAGCCAGAGATGCCCAAACTAGGGTTCATGGTAACCTTTGATTTGGCCTACCATCCCATCTTACAAGAGAGGAAGAAAGATGGGGACAGTTTAGAGACTGTCATTTCTAATTTGTTTGTTTATTTTATTGCTAAGCTTCAAAAAGCTAATGGAAATGAAACATTTCAATTCAATAAATTAGATTTTTTTTTTAAATGCACATACTGTCACCCGATGGATAGAGCACAATGCAGAGACATCAGTGAGCAAATGGAGACAAAAGCTGATTCTGCTTGACTAGTGTATTTAGCATTGAAGTCCACTGTGCTGTAAACATATGCTTGTATTTTTATTGTAATAAGTTATAATAAACAAATTATACTGCATTAGTTAATACAGCGCAAAGTAATATTTTCTATTTATTTTTTTAATTATTATTAAATAAATCAGCTATAGCAGCTTTAATGTAATATAGCTTGGTATAATTACCTTCGACCCTTGGCAGTCAATAATATTTGGCTTTTGGTCCTTCTTATGAAAACGTTTGGGCACCCCTGCTTTAGGCATTCAGCTTTAGTTGAAAGACAGCTTAACGTTTGTATGTTTTGCTTCTTTCTGAGGCTGAACGTGTGCACAGAACAGAACAGAACAAGTTAGCTTTTTTACAAAACATGACTAAATCTAATACACTTCACCAAATCAAGCACATTACACAAGGAATTTGACGTAGAGCTGACGTAAAAGGATTTTACTTATTTCAACGTAAAACTTTGCTTTTGTAGAGAAACGAATCGGGAACAAATGCGGACTAGTGGAAAGGGAGCAGGATATAAGGCAATATTTGTTTTATCTTGATCATTGTTTTTCCATAATCATTAGAGGCCAAAATTAAAATCCAAATAGATTTTTGATTAATTGCACAGCCTTACATGCAATTATGTGTGATATACATTTTAGTACTTTAACTATTTCTGATTCTGACTGTCAGAATTTCATATTTATAATGAAAGTTTTGATCCTGTGTTATAGAATTCACAAGACATGTCTCTCATATCGTTTTGAATGGGGAAAAGTGTAATAGACAGTGTGGCGAATAAAGCTCGCCGTTAAGTTTAGGAGCCAATCATCAATCGCTATACAGCAAATAAAGCCCGCCTTTTAGTACAGGAGCCCATCATTGATCGCTATAGGCCGATGATACTCTGGGAGAGGGTCTCAGACCAGACGTGAGTTTTGTATAATTCAGATGTTTAATAATAATAATAATAATAATAATAATAATAACGATAATAAATCCTTACATTAATATAGAGCTTTTCTGGGCACTCAAAGCACTTTACACATTGG